GTTGCCTCCCGCTGAAGCTGCAGGTCGGTGCCCTGGGGAGCTGAGAGTACCGGGAGGCGTGTAATGACCGGGAGAAGTTCAGGGTGTTGAAGGGGCGTCAGGCCGCAGGGGGGTGAGGGCGATGTGACGTCGCCCTATGGAAAACAGGCTTGCGTTGCACTGCTCGCGAATTGCTCGTTCCCAGAAGGTGGTGAAATACCGCTCTCGATAAACAAACCAATTGGATTATTCTTTAATTTATTCTCAAGAATAAATCAATCAAGATTGATACTTAGCCAATTAATAATTCTTAATTAATGGCCAAGACCATTAAAGTTTCATTATTTTCAGTCAGTCCTCTCCCCTGTCCTAATGATGTGGAAGAATTGAATCGTCATTGCACGAATTCACAAAATACCAGCATTTTCGTACCTCAAGAATCTCTGAGAAGGGGATGGTGAGAACCTGACTTAGAAAAGTAAATCCGTTGATGTCTGGACAGCTGACGGTATCCAAAAGTGCGCAAGTGTGTTCTCCACTGTCCTTTCCACAAACTGTTAATTTGTCTGAAGTTCTGGTATAATTCCAATCATATTAAAGCAAGCTATTGGAAACTCTACTCTCAAGCGAGAACGAAAGGAAATACAGCTTTCAGTCGCAAAATACTCCTCAGTTATTCTTCCAATGTTTCTTACTTTTTTTTTCTTAAAAAGTTTTGAGAAAATGATTAAATATCTACCGTACTTTTTCCTCTTATTGCAACTAAGCTATGAATAGTACCTGTCATGATTTAGACTAGATGGCAGAAAAGACAGTGATGATTAAAATGGTAAACGATGAACTCTTCAGAAGAGGTAGCTGAGAATCTTGAGAGAGTTATTACATTTTACACTGATGGGCCCCTTCTGATGGCTTCTGATTTTTTCAGTCACCCTGAAATTGCAGTATGAAATAAATGTGATGAGAAATATTCCTGGTTGGTTTAGTTTATGTTCGTTAATGAGCTTTAAATGTAATTATCTTTGAATTTTCTTAGCATTTTCCTAAGGTTCTATTCTAGGTTTATTTTTATCCATAACTGAAAATGTCTGCGATAAAAACATTTTTTGATTGCAGAGAGGCAATAACGTGCCTACCTACTAATATGTTGATAAAACATAATCTTTAGCTGTGTGGAAATAATTTAGGACATCACCTGTTTTCTCGCTATTCATACAGCTATAGTATCTAATATATGCACGTAGCTTTGCAAGCACAGTTTAAAGGTCTCATGTCATAAAAGACAACCTCGGCACTTACTCCAAAATGTGAGTTGCTATTTCATCAGCAAGCTCCAAAATAGAAATTAAACACTAGCTTTTCTGTGAAAGAAAAAGTATCGTTTGCATTAATGGCAAACCGTAATCCATCTACAAATGCAACTTCATATGATGCTGACATTTCTCCAGAATTCGGCATCAGACGCCTTCTTTTTTGGGTGAAGTGATCTGCTAAATCTGAATTGGATTGCAGTTTTGCAGATGAAGTGCGGGCTTTTTATGAGTCTTCACCCTGGCTGTTTCTCCATCTTTTTCATCTATTAATTAGCTTTTCTTGTGGAGGTATAAAAGTATTTCAGCATTTGAGGGGTGTATGCTATTCTTGTGAAAGATGTACGTAGCTGAGGTAGAAGGAAGCAGCATCAGTTACTCTTACTAGATTCAGAGGAGAAGTTACGAGAACTTAAGTCTATTTTGTCCCATCCCCACAAAAATAGTTCAATGGAAATCTTCCCTCTGAGTTCAGTTGGCTTTGAATTCAGCCATAAGCACTAAAAATAACAAGCTTTTTCAAGAGCAGAGAAGCCAGCGAAGCTTTGTGTCCTGTGCCCCCAGCACCGCACCTTTGCGATAATCCTGCCTCCGCATTTGGCAGCCCTTCTTCCCACCTCCCGTCGCAACACCTACGTTTTACCTCTGCGGTCCTATTCTCCCAGGATCTTTCCTGATCACCCTGCAGGGCTCCTGTATATCTCTTAATTAGCAGAGAGGAGGTGGGCTGGTTTTGCTGAGGCTGTTCCTGAGCTACATGCGTGCTGACTGGCCCAGTCGGCGAGCCAGAGGGAATAGATGACTGCTGACCTCACATTTTTACTTAATGAGGCACTAATTTAGATCGCTCTCCCCTTGCCCAGTCACCGCTTCTCATGAAACTTGTAGGAATGAAACGAAGTTTGATCTTTCCGCTTTTTTGTCAGATGCACTGGAAAATGAAAACGGGTTCCTACATTGATGCGGTGAAGCAGGCAAGCAGCATGATGCCTATCTCTTTCTTAGGGAAAAAAAGAAGCTAAAATAAATGAGAAAAGTCTAAAATAGCATTCTAGAATTTTACCAAAGCATTAGTTATGGTTGCGGCATAGGAAGAGCCTCTGTAACTTCTGTCTCCCATTCGTACTTGCTAGGCTGCTGCTTGTAGATGTTCACCTTTACACGGTGAATCCCTGTGATTATGATTGACAAAAAAGTATACAGTCTTTTGTCTTGAACGGTCTGGCCTGCAAGGGTGTGTAACGTTTCGGTAATCAGTTTGCATCCACTGGGTGAACTGTCTGTCATTGTAGCCAAACGTGTCCGCGATGGTGTCTGCCTCAGTTACTCGCTAGATGTTGTGGTCACAGCATAGAAAACAGAATTAATTTGGTCTTTTGACCACGGAGAGATGGGACGGCCTGAAAAGTGGGTGAGATTCGCGGCTATGCCTCCACCTGCCGCAAAGGGAAGGTCCCTGGTGGCCTCGGGCTCTCCAGCGTTGGGCGTGTTGAGGGTGGCAGCAGTGCCGACAGCAGGCGTGCTGCGAGGAGCCTCCTCGCCAGGCGTTTGCGTGGGCTTTGGCATCGCTGGGAGTCAGACCAGCGCTCCCGCAGCCCAGCCTCGCTCCCCTCTCCTGGGAGGCTTTGCAATCCTTTCCTTTTCCAGCAGAAGCATTCACGCTGTAAAGGGAACAGGAGCAGGACTGGGGGTCCCCATGTCCGTGGGGGGCTATGAGGCCACCAGCAGCTCACCCTCAGCCAGGTGTCTTGTCGCTAAAACTTCCAGACCCGTTACAGGGGTGTCAGCAAGGTCCCGTTAGTGCAAACCTTGTGCAGGTAAAACCAGGTTGATGTCCCTTGTTTTTCTTTGTTTAAGCCCTGTTCTGTTAGGTAAGCCTAACGCAGGTGTTACAAGCATTCGGCAAGGGAAGCTGTTCAGAGGGATGCTTGGAGGTTCTCTATTTATTTGCTGATTTATTTCCCTGGGGACTGGTAGTAGATAAACATGGATCTTTAATTTTTTTTTTATCTCCGGGTGACTGGCTCACGTCGAGTTCAGGTTGTTGGAGCGTCAGTGATTCCTGTCTGCTGGCAGGGTGCACGAGGCAGGGTACGGCTCCTGCCGGGGCCATGTGCCCTGTCGCAGCTGGAGCATTTGTTGGCGGTTTCAGCAGAGACTGAAACTTGAATAAGCACCGAGTGTGAGCAACCTTGCTCTCTTAAGAGATGCTCATTGCTTGCTGCCGGTGAGGCATGCCTATGGATAAACTTACGTGTCTGTTCTTTAGGTAAGCAAAGGCATTAGTAGGCAGCGGATTCTACTAAGCACCTTTGAATAAAAATCAAATGTGCTTAAAAATGCAAATTATAGTTGTGCTGTGAGCAGCTGCCTAGGTCTGAGCCACGGATAAAATGATGAAATAAAAAAGCGCAGAATAAAAACAAATCTGGCCCAAAAGATATGGAATGAGGCCCACTACACATTGCTGTTATTTGCATATTACAAGGGAGGACTAATTTATGTAAAAGAGAGAGGAGGAATGAAGAACTGCGTTTTCTGTACTGCAGTATGTTTTTTCGGATACTCCAGTGATCTGGGGTGGGATTTTTGAATGCAGTGGAAGTTCATTATCCTCAAATAAGGTTGGAGTTCATCCTTTGTTCTGGCAACAAATTACGTAAACTGTGGAAACTAGAAGCTGTTTGGCAGGTAAGGGCAAAGAGTCCCTTCAGGCAGACTTGAAGGGGTGTCCCCAGGCAAACCCTTGCTGCTTCGCAGCTCCTCTGCCGCCTGATGCAGTTCCCGAGGACTGGAGAGCTAACCGGGGAAAAAAACAGTAACAGCTTTTGCTGGGCCCATGAGCTGCCTTGCTCCCTGCAGGGGATGGAGACAGGCCAGTGCTGGGGAAGCGGTGGGGCTGAGGTGGGGCAGGGCAGCGCTGGGGACTGGGATGTCCCTGTGCCGTTATGGCAAGAGGGTCAGTGGGCCGAGGCATTCCCCAGTCCAGTGCCCCGGGGCTGTACCTCCATGGCACGGGTCCTTCCTTCTGTCCTCCTCCTACTTATGATTGCTCGGAGCAGGGGTGAGATTGCCACAGCTCCCCGTGCCGCTCAGCTGGAGCTGCGGGAGAGGGCAGAGGCTCAGAGGCTCCGTCGCAAAGTTCCCGTGAGACTGAAGTCCCTTGTGGCAGGTATGGTCCTGATGCATTTCTTTTCGTTTGCCTAAAACAGCTTCTCGCAAACGCCAACGGCATCGGGAAAAGAGGACGCCAATGATAACATCACCATATTCACCAGGATCTTGGACGGTCTGCTGGACGGCTATGACAACCGACTGCGCCCGGGACTGGGAGGTAGGATAACATGTTCCCTGTGGGGGACCATCATCTACAATGATGCCCTCCCGAACGGATGCCGGCTGTCGGCGTTGGTCTTGACGCGAGAGTTGTGTTTCATTAGCTAAATGAAGCCCAAAAAAGCACATTTGTCTCCTGGCAAATGGGGAACAATTCAAAAGTCCCTGAAAGTTGTCGTCTTTCAGTCATTGAGGTCATCTGAGGTTGTGTTAGGAGAGCTTGTGTGATGCATTTTTTCTGTAATTGAATACAGTTTGGGTTTCTTTTCTTTCTGGTACTCCCTAAGGTGAGCGAGACAGGGTGCTAGCAGGCTGCTGCAAGGTTCCCTCACTGGTCAGCATGTATAAAATTATGCCAGTGACAAAAATCTGCTAAAAACAGATCCTCGAACCATCCATTTTTAGACAGCTACAGCAAATCTGTATTGATATGTCATTTTGATAACCTTTACAGCAGCTATTTTAAAACCATAACATGTGAATAGTTGTTTGCCATCCTAACCTTGTTGAGCCCTCCTTCAGTTCTCTATCCCCCAGATTTCTCTCATCTTCTACCCATGTGTAAACCATCTGTTATGTTTCTTCCTGGCCCTTTTTTAATCTGGCTACCCCCACCCCTTCCTCTTCTGAGACCAACACATTGCTTTCATCCCTTTCTCTCCTTCTCCTCTCACTTTACACAGAGATGCTTGAAAATAGGGCTCGATGCTCATATCTTATGTAACAAACTTCTGAAATTTCTGCCCTTAAATTAAATTAGTCCTGATTTGAAAAGATGCCAGAAGGACTTAGAGTCTTGAGGGTAGAATTAATTACACCTAACTTTGGACATCTATAATATAGATGTATGAAATGCCAGCAGAGTGGCATAGGTCCTTCCAAGATCCACTTCATCGCATCCTATGATAGGTATCGAATATGAGCTGGCAAAGTGCGCTCACAGCCCAGAAAACCAGTCGCATCCTTGGCCGCATCAAAAGAAGCGTGGCCAGCAGACTGAGGGAAGTGATTCTCCCTCTCTGATCTTGTGGGTCTTGTGTTCAGCTCTGGGGTCCCCAGCAGAAGACAGACATAGACCAGCTAAAACGGGTCCAGAGGAGGGCCACAAGGATGATCAGGGGGCTGGAGCACCTACCCTGTGAGGACAGGCTGAGAGAGTTGGGGTTGCTCAGCCTGGAGAAGAGAAGGCTCCGGCGAGACCTTACAGCAGCCTTCCAGTGCTTGAAGGGGGCCTACAGAAAAGATGGAGGAGGGACTCTTTATCAGGGAGCGTAGTGATAGGATGAGGGGTAATGGTTTTAACTGAAAAAGGGTAGTTATTAGGATTAGTTATTAGGAAGAAATTCTTTACTGTGAGGGTGGCGAGACACTGGAACAGGCTGTCCAGAGAGGTTGTGGATGCCCCATCCTTGGAAGTGTTGAAGGCCAGGTTGGACGGGGCTTTGAGCAATCTGGTCTAGTGGAAGGTATGCCTGCCCATGGCAGGGGAGTTGGAACTATATGATCTTTAAGGTCCTTTCCAACCCAAACCATTCTATGATTCTGTGACCAAAAACTGTCAGTCAGAGGAATTGCACCCTTGAAGGGCCTGTTTCTTTCCACTTAGTATAAGAAGAGAGCCTGAGCTCCCAAAGGTCAACAACTGCATTTGATCAGGGATGAAATTCCTCCTCAAGCATCTTCTTAATTTCAAGCTTTTGGGGATTTTTGAGTGATTCAGAAATTGTTAACACATAAATGCATCAGAAGCACGTATTTGCATCTTAAAGCAATTACTAACTCAGAGCCTGTATTTATTACAGAGAGAATAACTCAGGTGAAAACAGACATCTATGTTACCAGTTTTGGTCCTGTGTCAGACACAGAAATGGTAAGTTTGATCATGTGGCTGGCAACTCCATTGTATTTACTTTGCTGAAGTCATTTTTGGAACCATCGCTTCTGTTCAGACCCTGCAATACCTTGACTGTTTGTTTGTGCCAGGAATACACCATTGACGTTTTTTTCCGACAAAGCTGGAAGGACGAAAGGCTGCGATTCAAAGGACCGATGCAACGCCTCCCTCTTAACAACCTGCTCGCCAGCAAGATTTGGACCCCGGACACTTTTTTCCACAATGGCAAGAAGTCTATTGCTCACAACATGACAACCCCAAACAAACTTCTGCGCCTGGAGGATGATGGCACCCTGCTGTATACCATGAGGTAATAACCGGGATCGATTTCTTTTGATGCCGATTCCCAACTAGCTCTGCAAGTACTTGTGGGGAGAGCCACTTCCCCCACTTGTAGTAGAGCCGGGCAACCAATCTTTCACACATATTTATGTGACTATCAAGAAAAGCGGAAAGCATAATCGCTGCCTACAAGTACCAATTAATTTGTAGCTTCTGAATACTGCTAGTGCTTAAATATTTCCTTTGATTAAATGGAAGGCTTATTCTCAACAGATTTGATGATTCAGTCCAGTATTTTTATGAAGAACTGTTCTCTCTTACTGTTTGTATTTGCAACTGCAGTGCTGATTGCGGGAGAACTGTCTCCAAGGCCAGAAACTGAGATCTTGTTCTGGGGCAGTACATCTTGAGCTTTTGGAGCTTTTATTATTATTTTTTCGATTTCATTAATAGTGCTAAAAGGCAAATCATCATAGGGATAAATGAAATAAGCTAGCAGCACTGTGAAGCTGCTTTAGCAAGTACTTTCCTGAAGACAAAGCCAGCACATTATATTGGCAGAGAAGCAAATCGGTGTCTCAGATCTTCAGGGTCGTGCTCCTCATCAGATTAAAGGATACTGTCAAGCTTCATTATTGTGTAACCTAGATATAAGGTGTAGTATCGGTGATGTGAGAGGATTGTCTGAAATTCTTCTCAGGCCAAATCCCACATCGATGTACGGCAATTTGCTCATTAAAGGTAATTAGCTTGTAGTAATTAAGACTGACGTCTCTCTTCAACAGGGTTTTCTCCAAGAGCATAGTCATACGGACAGCACTTGAAAAAGAAATGAAAGGGAAAACCTACCGAGCAGCAAAGTGTTATTCTGAACTTTTCACGTACAAGCCCAGAGTGGTACCTGAGACCCCAAAAAATGCTCGGGAGCCTGAGGTTAGGTGCTGAGATGCCCGATTTTTCAGCAGGCAGCCCCCAGTAAAGGGCAGGGGGACCTGAGCTCCCACCGGCGCCCCGTCCTGCTGTGGGGCCGGCTCTGTAGGGCCAAGCCGGCAGCCACCCGCTGCCGCACGTTGGGAGGGCGAGCCCCGGCGCCGAGTGGTTAAGACTTGTCGGGGCGTGGGGGGATTACGCTTTCGTACGCAGGCACCTGGAGCTTCCCAGGTTGTGTTTCAGGCGTTTCCAACCTGTTTTATTTATCTATTTAGGCCCTAGCCTTAGATCTCTTCTTTTGCAAGGAAAAGAGATTTAGGAGAAGTAATGTATCCTTACATAAATCCTTACAGCTTTAGACCATCACAGTTATAACTGCACTAGTGCTAAAAAGACTTGGACGTGATAGAGGTTGTGTTTAAAAGAAAGAAGAAAACATCTCATTTTCTCTTCTGCTATGTGTATTGCGGTTCTTCCTAGCCCCAAGTTAGTGGTCTCCACAGTAGTAAACTCCTGAAACAATGTGAGGATACACATACATGCTTAAATGAATACAAGCCAGAATAACTATCAGAGAAACCTGTATTTCACAAAAATACTGGTAATGCTGACCTCAGAACCAGTCTCACTGCCTCTAGGACTACACTGTACAACTCCAGAGACCGCTGGAGAGGAAATTCCTGATTATCTGTGTACATCACTTGTGTAAGTAAGGTCCAGACCGGGCTAGCGGTCAGCCTGGTGCGAAACATGACAGCGTGTGGCAGATTCGCAGCTGGCATGCTATTCCCATGCAAGCAGTGGGTTTTGCGGTGTTAAAGAAACGTGAGTTTCACCGACGGGTGAGGCAGTGAGCTGAGCCACCCGGGGCAGCGCAGCGAGGCCTGGGTCAGCGAGACCTAGGTGAGCTTGCAGCCCAACCCGAGTCCTTCTGTGGAGGTGCCTCTCCTGAAACCATGGCAGAGTACTGTCACATTAGGTGCCACAGGCTATAGGTATATTGAGGAAAAATCAGTGCCCTGCTCAGCATACGCAGCTGGAGAAAGATCTGGGTTTGACACAGGCTTTCTCATCATCCCACTCAGTCCCTTTTCCCCTGGTTTTCACAGGGGGAAGACTCTTTGAGATGGATGTTTTTGTAGGCTACGGAAAGACACAGAATGCTTTTGTAACCTAAAAAAACATGCAACATAACTTTTTTTTTTTTTTTTTGGTAGAGTATTGTGTGTGGGTGTGCATGTGTGTGGAAATAAATTCCCACTATCCATGATGTATGTGATAAGAAATGGAGGGCAAAGCTTTTTAAATAGCTCGCCTTCCACTATTGCAAGTAATAACTTTAAAAATAAAGGACTGTCTATGTTACTCCATTTAAACACAAGTCAGGAGACGGCTTTTGTAATGTGCACGGAGCTGTGCTACTTTAGGGGTAGCAGCTTTTCGTGATGGGCGTTTCAGCAGCGCGAGCGATGCTCGGCCGCGAGGTGGCTTGAGGCTCCGGTCCCAGCCTGGGCAGAGGTGGCTGTGGCATGCAGCCGGAGCCTTCAGCTGCCGCCCAGCCCTGTGCAAGTCCCCGCGACGGTAACAGCTCGTTGGTGCTACACAGCACGGCTGTCCATGAGAAGACAGGACATTGGGCTTTCTGAGCGGGGGGATGCTTGTCTTGGCGGTGGTGCGCTGGTTGAAGGTACTGGGTCTTAGCCAGGGCTTGAGCCCCCTCTCCTGTAGCTCTCACCAGGCTTACTCGGTTCTCAAGATTTGGGGGTGTGGAGGCAACCCTCTGTTATCTCTGCATTCCCCTCGTTTCCAAGGAGGAATTGCGAGCTTCCCAGACTGTACGTAGGAGTAATCCGTGCAGGGAGGATTGGACCCTCTGTCGTTGACAGAGATGCCTGAATTGCTTTTGCAACCTCGCATCTGGCTGCCTGAATGAAGAGGAGGAAAGCAGCCGAGCCGATGCTGACCTTCCATCTTATTTGACTTCCAAATATACCAAGTATGATCAGCTGAGCAAACTTCCAGCTTTAGCACTTGCCAGTACGTACATTTTCATGATACGTATGTTTCCTTATAAAGAAAAATGTATTCTTCGCATATTGCATTTGATGATACGTTGTCTAGGTCAGAAGTTGATGGGATATATGTTGCCAGAGAAATCTAATAAATGGGCTTCTATATACGTGCAGTATTAAAACCCTTCTGCATGAATATAGGAACACAACATGCTCTTTAGGCCGATTTCATAGGCAGCAGCGTCCTCTGCAGGGAACGACTTACTTAATTCTGGTTGTCTTTGATTTGGTAGGCCCTATTTGTTTTATTTCGCTAATGTGGTTTACAAATATTACACTGCTGAATTGAACGTTGCAAATTCTGTTTCCGCCCCTAGAGGGGAGTATTGTCTGTATCGCCACTTTTAAATTTTTCCTTTAATTTCTTTTTTAGTAAAAAAGCACTAGCAAATATACCTCATATTTCCCTAATCTGTATAGAAAATGGCTTTGTGAATGGAGGCAAAAAGTTGATTCTTTCCCTTTAAAGGCTTAAAAGCTATTTAATTTATCTTATCTGAGAAATAAAGGTTGTAAAAAGCATAAAACTCATTTACTCCATAAAACTGTTCTCAAGAATGGGGACAGTGATTTAAGCAACCTTTTCAGGCTAAGAGAACCAAAATGTCTTGGTGAGCTGCATTTTTTCACTCGGGGGGATTGGCTGTAAATACAGAAGCTCTGATAAACTTTATTGTAGGATGCCAGTAGAAAGCTCCGAGTCTGCCTTTTTTTTCCCCCGAATTTGTGTGAAGTAGAGCATGCTCACTAAACCTAAACCTTTGGGCCACAACTGAACTTTTGGCCAGCAATTCACTGGGAATTTTTCATGATTTTCTATCAGCTTGTAGATACTGAAAAATCTTTCTGTGTCATCATGAGGGCTAGGCTCCTTGGAGCCCCATCCTCGCCATCATTTTTAAAGGACCCCAAGCCACTTTCGCTATCACTAGGGCTACCAGGCATCTGATATAATTTGAGGTTTTAAATACGATGTGGTCATACACCTGAAGAGTGTACAAACAGATTTTTCCTGTGTTATTATGGCAACTGAAGATTGGCCAGATATGGCCAGAGATCCTGGGAGTGTTTACCGTTGAATCTGTGCCATTAATCTGCAAATGCATAATTTACCAGCTGGCAACTGCAGACGTTCGTCATGTTCCAAAAACTTTAATATGGCCCTGAAATACAGTTATCTTTACCATTCCTGGAAGACATTTAAAATTCAGTAATCTGTCGGATGCTTGTCCACTTGATGGCAGCATAACCACACTGCTCGCTGTGCCGTAGCGCGCACACAGGCTTAGCCAGGCTGGAAATGCTGTTCCTTACATTAGCACTGAGCGTTAAAATTGCATGTGCAAGTGTACACGTCCTGGATGCGTGTTAGCACAAAGTCTGCTCGTCTATGAAGCACTTGATTAGCGAGCTATTTCATGCTGTAGAGCTATTGATTATAAAACCGGTTGACTGGAAGATACTGTGCTGCTTTCAAGACTTCCACTGGGAAAGCTAGGCTTTATTTGCTTGTTTTTTTAAAGGGAAAATTATTCTATGTAAAATGTGGGGGTTCTCAAGTGCTGACCTTGTCAGAAGGCAGCCTTTTCCAGATGCAGGTTTGCTTGCATGGCCCTGAGGGAGGAGTGACCGGCAAATCTACACTTTAAAATGAACCCTCAGTTTTCAGTCAGCCAGCCAGCCATCTAGATGGGAACAGTTCTGTTCCATTTGCATACGTTGTTCTTATTTCAAAGGGAAGATTCATTTATGCATCCATTTATATTTGCAGAAAGGGTTCTGGCAATGCTTTTGGGCACTGTTTAAATATTACAAAGCTAATTAGGAGCTATCAAGCCATACAAATACCCGTTTCCTTTCCCCATGTTAGACTTCCTGCTTTTTCTTTCATATTCAAGCTTCAAACTGCCTGAAGCTGGGAGAAAACAAAATAATTTCTTCACATTGGGCTGAGTCTTGCAGAGTGATGAAAAACTGCCGTGGTGGCAAGGACTCTCAGCTGCTTTTCATCAACTCAGATTTTGAC